AATATTTTAATTGTTTCACAGTAATCGATTGTTAACCTATGTCAGTTAATAATCATTTATATCTACTAACGGTAGCATAGTGGTATAAATAAATAAATAGTACGGTTCCAACTTGTTTAAAAAAAAATAACCAACTGTAACTAATATTTTTTTAATCGTTAGTTACAGTCAATTACCATATTTTTTATTATAAAAATATTTGCCGCAGCGGCGTTGACCGAGCTTATCTCGAGTCCATAATTTCAGGCAGTACATACTTTTTATAAAACGCTTGTAACTTGTATTCATAATCCAAAATTTGTCGTCTTTGTAGATTTTTAGTACTTTTACTGCATAATCTCAGCCAGTCCATATGGCAAGCATGCAGACATTTTATTCTTCGTTATTATTTCTCCAGAGATAGGATAATATTTCGTTTTTACGTTTAGTGACACATTGATACTTGTATTTATTTTTCCCCATTCCGACTGGTAAGAAAGCTCAGCTACAGTCAAAATAATCATAATGAATTAACTATATAGTATAATAATAATATGTGAACTTTGTACTAGTTGAAATATACTGTACGAAAGTAAATACTTCCAAAGATCAAAAACTGCGATCGTAGTTGAGTTCTATTTCGTAACACAGACCAAAATAGCAGCGCCTATAACGGCATTCGACGCACACCTACGATGATTGCGCCCTCCTTTCTGCCAAGGAGGGTCGCGTTCGTATACGGCTTAGAGATCTCTAGTCAGATCGTTAAGCCAATTCCTAAAAGGTTGGGTTTAGTGGGTAAAAGTCACCACATAACCACGCAGCCGGCTGCGTGGTATGCTATGAGCATTCCCAACCTCCCTCCCCCGCTTTCCGGAGGGTTGCCCATATTTGCTTCGGGCGCAAAAAAAATCTACGATGACATCCAAACGAGACGGAGCTCGCGAAATTAACTGATACAGGCCCAAACTCGACAAGCGCTCGCGCGATAGTGAATTCAAATGGCCAGCGCAGTGAAATAAATGGTACTTTTAATTAATTAATTAAAAATAATAATAACGATTTAAAAAGTAAAAATCATTTATAGTTTAAGCTTCTTTTTAGTTTTATGTTGTGTTTTTTAGTTGTATGTGTTTATGTTTAAGTTGATGATTATTTTGGTATACATTTTATGTCAGAATGATGTAGAACTTCGGAGATATTGGGGCTTGTATCGAAGCTTTTTCAGTAGATAATTGAATTATGTCATTTTTTCCTTACGTGAAAGGCATATAACGAAAATGTATTTTATCATTATTAAAGTGTAGGATGTTTGTGAGCTAAAAATATTTTTTTGATGGTCGATATTCTATAGAATCTACAAATTAAAGCACCGAAATCTTGTTTCTCAGAATTTTGGCCTAAACTTGCATGGAGAATGATTATTACTAAATAAATAAAGAAGTTATCTAAAATTTGCCTTAAGCTTATTGTAGTAAAGAAAACGTTATTTACTTTTACCAAGTAATTGTTATTTCAAACAATGAACGGAAAACATGTAATTTCAACGAGGAAGTCTTGTAATTTCGCGTTTTTTTGTAATACTCCTGTTAAGTTCAGGTTAATGTTTTACACTAAAAATACCCATTTTTAAAAATCCCACGTCTGATTTCGGAAGAGGTCGAGCCATATCTCATGACTTTTCACCAGTGGGAGGGGTAAGGTGGGAAAATCGCCAAAATCGTCTCACGTAATTAATGGACGCCCCCTTTTTGCCACAGCCAGATTTAAAATCGCAGTACAAAAGTCTCGAATCTTAACGTCTCTACACTTAGCCTATTTGGATATTTTTTGTCTAACTCTAATGTAACCGATATACTTATATCGTCTTAAATTGAAAGACATTGAAAGAAAGAAAAACGCTTCCTTAAAAAAAAAGAAATTGAAAGCTATTAATTAGTGTAGATGAAACTTGTATACACCATTATACGTCCTAAACAAAAATACAGTCAAAACAGTGGACTTTAAAAGGGGAAACCTCCAAAAAAAAGCTGAATCTGTTTTTTCGACTGGGAAAGTGATGGCGACTGTTTTATTTATTATCTTCAAAAAGGAAAAACCATTACAAGAGCATGGCAACCATTGCACATCATTACTTGACAAAAACGGTTTCACACCTCAGCGTTTGCCATCCGCCTTACTCACCAGTTCTAGCACCAAGTGACTTCTTTTTGTCGCTCATCTAAAACTTGCGCTCGGGGGACAGAGATTTTCGTCTAATGAGGAGGCAATCACCTTCGTGAACAATTATTTTGCAGAGAAAAACGCTTGTTGGGGGAGGAGGAGACTTCGTGGAAAAAAAATTAAAAAAAATGACGTGACTAGACCACTCATGTATTGCATCCATCTTATCGTTAATTAATTTATTTTATTTACTAAAACTTTATTATACACCTTATATTAAGGGATATAAAAGGCGGACTTAATGCCTTGTGGCATATTCTACCAGTTTCACATACATTCAACGAATCCAGACGGGCTGCAGCAATCTATTTCTCGCCCCTCCGGTAGACAAAAAGAGACTGATTGCGAGCCTCGTTATTGTCGTAAATACTACTTTGTATAATACAGATTAAAAAAGTAGGTAATGCTTTTACTAATACGGTAAATAATAATTTACAACACAAACATTTACACCATAAATTTTTATGTATTCTTTTTCAAACAATTTTCCAAACATGGCTGCCCTGTCATGAGACGAAATATCTCACACGTTATATGGCGGAACAGTTATTTCGTTAGGATAATGAAAGGGTTAATGTTTCCTTCTGTAACATTAATTGCATCTTAATTTGTATCTTAATATTATTGTATTTACTTAATATTAAATAAATTAGTAGTGAATAAACCAAACCACGATTTGCCGACGATATAGTCCTTATGGCAGAATCGCTGGAGGACTTAAGCACTATACTCAATGATTTCAATAGTGTCTCCCAACGGATAGGTCTTAAGATGAACATGGACAAAACAAAGATCATGTTTAATGTCCATGTCACACCTATGCCGGTAGTTGTTGGGAGCACTATGCTCGAAGTTGTTGACGAGTACGTTTACCTGGGACAAATAGTCCAACTAGGTAAGTCCAACTTCGACCGAGAGGTTAATCGACGGATTCAACTCGGCTGGGCAGCGTTCGGGAAATTACGACACATCTTCTCGTCAGGTATACCTCAATCTCTGAAAACTAAAGTGTACAACCAGTGCGTGTTGCCAGTGATGACTTACGGATCAGAGACGTGGTCCTTCACTGCTGGCCGTAACCCGCTGGCGCTCAAGGTCGCTCAGCGAGCTATGGACAGGGCTATGCTCGGAGTTTCTCTGCGTGATATACTCAGAAATGAGGATATCCGCAGTAAAACCAGAGTGACCGACATATAGCTCGAAGAACCGATAACCGATGGGGAAGAAAGGTTCTCGAGTGGCAGCCTCGTACCGGTAGGCGTAGTGTAGTGCGACCCCCCACTAGATGGAGTGACGACCTGGTAAGATATGCAGGAAGTCGATGGATGCAGGTGGCTCAGGACCGTGCTTTGTGGCATTACTTGGGGGAGGCCTATGTTCAGCAGCGGACTTGTGAAGGGCTGTGATGATGATGATGATGATGAAACCAAACCACGGATAATCCTAAAAGTAGAAATACGAAAAAAAAAGAAGTAAAAAATGTGAAAAATATTGAAGACTAGACCACTGAAGCGCCGACAAACTTTTAATTAAAACGTTACTTCTCACTTACAACAACAATTACGTATTTCTTTTAGTTGTTGAAGGTTTCAAAAATAAAAGATTTATCATAAAGAATCACAATGAAGTAAGTAAAGCGGTTAGTAACAATATATATACTTTATTAAATTAATAATAATGGTTGGTACTTTCAATTAATATAAGAGTTAATGCCAACACATGGCATCACTTAACAACGTTTAAATATTATATACATACATACATGCATATACTTAAATGCACACCAACTATTATACATATAACCCTCCTTTTGGGCTCTGTCGCAGTGCAAATTTATGAGTGCATTGGCAACTCTGAGGACATATTGCTGCATTACTAGGTATTTAATTGTCTTCCAATTGTGTTCCATTGTCTGTAGTCTGTTTATTTACGAAACAAAGCAACCTCGTACTACGTGTAGCATTGTAGTTCACTTTTATATTCATTTCGCTTGAAAGTACAATTTCTTGCTATCAGTCTTTATCTTTATAGTTATATTAAACTTAATTAAACTTTGGTGTCAAGTTAGCACGATTTTTGTGAAATATGTGATCACGGGGTTCGATACCCGCCGGTACAAATGAAATTGTTAATTGCAATATTAAGTGCTTATTTACCACGTGCTCGGTGGCGAAGGAAAACATGGTGAGGAAACCTGCATGTCAGAGAAATAAGAAAAAAATATTTCGAAGACATGTGAAGTTCGCCAACACACATTGGGGCAGCGTGGCGGACAATTCCTTGCCCTAAAACCCTCTCAGAAATGAGCGGAGGCCTGTGCCCAGCAGTGGGACGTATATAGGCTGTAATTACTTTTTACTTTACTTTTGCACGGGTGATTTCTGGATCTCGACAACCGCGCCATCTACCTTACCGGGTCTAATTATGCATTTAAACCATCCAGGGACTCACACACAAAAATGGGACGACACACACAAAAATTCATCCAAATCAGTCAAGCCATTTTTGAGTTTTAACGAGTTTGAACGGACAGCAATTGATTTTTATGTTTAGTGGTATATATAACAATGAAATGACAATCTCTTCAACGTTAACCTTTTCAAAAAGTAGAAGGTTCTCAATACTTCTCTATGTTTTTTTTTTGCATATAATATGTTATGCGGTATCTTCGCAGACTGTGAAATGATTGTAATTATCATTATTTGTTACAGATTTTCTACGATGCTGAATAATATAATGAAAATGAACTAAATAAAGAGATGGCGGTCCGAGTACTGATGTGTATCGTGGCTCTAGTAATGGACAGTGTATCTGTTAAATTTATAAAAAATGAAACAATTGAAAAATTGGTAACAACGGTATTTGAAAAGCAATATGATATTAATGGAAGTCATTCGTTGGGTCAGGTTACTTTTGACCTAGATATAAATAAATCAAATATAACAAAATTAGAGATAACAGCGGATTCAAATGACAACGATGAATTCAATACCACAAAACAAAATAAATGTGACAATATTGTTAATACAATTACTGAAGAACCTATTTTTGAAACGAATAGCTTAAATTCAATTTACCTTAATAATATATACTCTAGTGTTACGACAAATTTGATTGAAGATAATGTATCTATAGAGAACATCGATTCTAATGGAGTAAGCTTATTTGACATAGTGCGAAATGACTGTGGAGGTGCCAAGATGTGTTCTGACTTCAGTGAAAATTGGAATAGCAAGAATACCATAACAATTGGATTTCTAAGCGCCTACGGATACAGTCAGGTTAGTATTCGAAACATCCTTTGTTTATAAAATGTAAATTTATACTATTTTAAAATGGTTAATTATTGTTGAAAGGAATCTGCCACTTAAAACGTGGTCATCATAGATCGCTACTAGGCGGAAGAACTCCTTTTCCATCTAAAAGAAGTGCCTGATTTAAAAAATTTAAAACGATTTAAAAAAATCTTATCAATTGTTGCTATATCTGTACTCGAGACGTACATGCGTAAATCCAAGTTTTGGCTGGAACTTGTCCTTAGACGGATTGTCGCTTGAATAATAGTTTGAAGTAGATTTTGATTTGTAAAAGTGATGCGATTTTGTGAATTAAGTGTCCGCGCGTGTGAACTATTAGAGAAAATGACGAAACAGGTGCTTTGATGTCGATATAAACCTCAAGTTATTTTGATCGCTTGGGCGCCTTATAACTTGAGTGGCTGTCGTCATCAACTGTCCGCTAGGTTAAGCTGTCGTCAAAATCTCCCAAGGGCTTCGCAATATGACGCATTAGCATATTGTGAAAAAAAAAAGAATATAAAATGAAGATTCCGAAAGAAATAATAGGCTCAGAAGGGCTAGAACCCAGAGCCGTAAAGCCAGTTAATAAAAAAATGCGTAAATCCAACAGTGAAACTTTAAATTAAGGTACGGATCTCTGGAGCTCCGCTCTCGCTCTTGCACCGGTCGAGCGTGTAGAAACGTGACTGGCCGCATTTCGCACGTAATTTTGTTAAATGTTAGTACACTTTTTCTGTCCAGGAATTGTTTTGGCTAAGTATTACCATCTTACTAATTTCTACCGCCAAATAGCATTACTACTTACGTATGTGGTAGTCCTATGTTCAGCAATGGATTTTCTATAGGCTGTTGATGTGACAAAAAAAAAAAAACACATTTTTAGTTTATCAGCTTGGATTTTAATACCGGCCCTTTACTTAGCTTATATTTGTTCTGGAGTATTAGTGTACTGACTGGTTATTTCATTTAAAATATGAGTCAGTATAAAAGTAATGCGTTCTATCTTACCTCCTTAGAAAAAGTACATCTACTTAAAAAAAAACTCAAGTGATATTCATATTCGGAATTCGGAGCCTTTTAAAAAAGATAATCGATATTATTTATTAAATTACATCCTAAGGTAGGAACTTGAAGATTTGCCTGTGTTAATACTTTTAATTATAAATATAAGGGACACTAAATTATGAAGGTTTCGAGAATACATACGAGTCACTTCAGAAAAGACTCAGATGCGATTTTATTAAGTTACACTTTTATATCCACTATCAGAATCGTAAAACATTTGGGTAATCTTCCATTTTGTAGAACAATTCTTGCACATAATTTGCCGTTATACCGCATCTGTTCAACCAGTAACAACTTGTTTTGAAATAGATGTTTTCGTGAGTTCTGTAGCCTCCAAGAAAAATAAATCTAATAAATCAATATGCCTAGCAGGCATTTTGGCAACCGCATTAATTTATTTTTTACTGGATGATGCTACTACCCACTTTCTAGTTGTTTCCAATGTCTTTTGTATACACAAAATTCTGATGTAATATTTGTTTACAGAAACAATTACATGATTTTTGTGAGGCACGGGGGCATACTTAGCTTACACAAAATTTTATATTTGTATTCGGTTTGACCGCGTCCTAAGAAGCCTAAATGTACCTACTTATCCCATAAGCTACCATGTGGTTAGACTACTATTGTATAATATATGTATATTTAACGTGAGACTCATTATCCTCATCATTACATATGATAAATCTGTAGAAAAGTCGTGTCTGTAATTCTAATATTTTCTTTAAAACAAGTCCATATACAACTAAATAAATTATACTGAAGTGAATTTAGTGGTTTTTATAAAAAAAATCCGTCCGTTTGCATTCACGATTCACGCAAAAACTACTGAAATAATTTCCATAAAATTTTGTATGTAGGTAGAATTAATCATCCAAAGAAACTTATAGGCAATAAAATTTTATTTATTACGGAACCTCAGAAATAGATAGGTATTTTTCTTACTTTAGATATAATTTTTTTATCATATTTGATTTCGTTAGTCATGAGCGGCATAACGTTGCTCTTTAAACACATACTATATTTATAAATAAATTTCAACATTAGTTTTAACTGTTGAATAGTAATTTGATACTACGCCGACGAGCTACGATGTGTTTTCTTAAAAATACTACCATCTTTTGTAAAAGCAAAAAGTAAATATAAATATATATTTCGCCTTCAGTTACTAATAAATAAATAATATAAATAACAAAAATTTATATGTTTAGGTAATTATATAAATAAAATGGTTTAAAAATACTAATGTTCATTATTTTAGTTTTTCGTTATTTCATTTATAATCAAAGACATTTAAGTAGTATTGGTCCTTAAAAATAGCCGAAATAGTAAAAGATTCCAAAAAATATTCGTTCGAGGAAGAAAATTTCTATTTAATCGCACGGTAGTGGATCGCCAGGAATCTAAATGGCAATTTAGCACAGGTAAAGTTTGGTGGCTGGAATTAATCCGAACAATTCCTCAGAGCACTCCCCGTGGTAAAATAAGATAGAAAAAGCAAAGGGATGCATCATCTCTACGCAGTGCCAGTGAATCGAGCCAATCAAAAGGAACTCGGTCGTTGACGGTTCGATTCGCTCTGCGCTCTATGCGGTCAAGTGGAAGGAGCTCACACTGGGGAGCCCCGGCCCAGAGATGAGAACAGTATCATGTGAGGCTGTGTGAGGAGGTATTCCGCCATGGAATACTGTTGCGCTCTTCTGAAAACGCTTAGCTTTTTATAAGCCAATTTAGCTTTCTCTTCCAAGTGATCACGACACTGCAGGTCAATCGATATGTCAACGCCGAAGATTTCGATACTGTCTGCAGCAACAAGGGAAGTGTTGCGAAATTGAGGCGATACGACAAAGGGGTTCTTTTAAGCGGTAAATTCGGAAACTTGTGAATGATTTGTATAACGATTTATCGTGTACGACTTTTAAGTTCAGTACTTTTAAAGGAATGAATTTCAAAAACATGGGGGCGGTCTCTTCTTGGAATTGACGTTAATTTTGCGCCTTCGACGCCGACAGACCAATCACATAATATTATTATAGCGTTTAATGGATCGAGTGACGTCATCCAAGATGCCAACAATCTTTTTAATTCTTTTTTTTAAATTTAGGGACTTAGGTTATTTTAAACATGTCAGTCCCATTGTACCTAATAACTAAATAACAAACAACAATTTCTTAAATTATTAAAAAAGTTAAAAATTAACTAAGTTATATAAAATGAGCAGCATCAGATAATGGTTCAGACAAAATGCTTTGATATTCCCCTAGGTTACAAATTTTAATATCAGTTTTGGCAATTAATAGTTTCCTTTCATGATGAATTTTGGAACATTCCGCGAGCAAGTGTTTTACATCTTCTATTGTTTTGCATATATCGCAATTTGGAGATTGTTTCATTTTCATCATGAAAGCAAACTTGTTACACGGAATGTGTCCGGAACGAAGTCGCATTGCTAATACAATATATTTTCTATTCAACAGACATTGATTAAACCAAGGCACTTTCAGAGGCTAACTCTGGATTGTTTTGTACCAAATTCCTTTTTCTTGCGATCTTTTATCAAAATATTCTTTCCAAATTGTATAACATTTCCCTTTATATTTAATTAAAATTTCTGAATAATCAGGATAAATATTATATTCTCTTCCTTGGGTGATTGCCAATTTCGCCAGCTTATCAGCCTCCTCATTGCCCTGTAAACCGATGTGAGACGGTACCCACTGCAATACTAACTCACGGTTTTTACATTGAAGTTTCAATATTTCATTTAATATCGAATATGCTGTCGATACACCTCTGAGACCAGAGACGCATCGAGCAATATGTTCAAGAGCACTCTTGCTATCAGTTAGAATGACTGTTTTTTGAAAATTTGTATTACCAGCATGTAATAGGGCATCATTTATAGCAATTAATTCAGCTGACATTATCGTAAAATTATTACGAATTTTAATTTTACTTTTATTACCCAGCAATGAGTCAAAATAAGCGGCACCTACACCATATTTGTCTTTGGATCCATCACAGAAAATTTTGTGCCATCCGAAATAATTAACATTTAATTCATTTATTACATTTGACTTTAAAGTATTTATCTCCTGACATCTTTTAGCACCCTTGATACAATTTAAGTCCTGTTTAATTACGTTTTTAACATTGATATTTGATACCCAAATATTTAAAGAGAACATATCTAGTTGATCCGAAAAATACACATTATTATTATTAACTTGTTCTAATGTAATTGCTAGAAATGGTTTCTTTTTATTTTACCAGTACCTGTCTTGACAGAATAAGCTGAGTTCTGTTAATAGTTTAATAGTAGTATTATTAGTCCTAGATTTACCTTTCAGACAATATTTATATGCTAAAAATTTTCTTCTAATATATAGATGCGTTATATTTAATTCACTTTCCATAACGTGTATTGGTGTACTTTTGATAAAATCTCCTATAATACAAAGTGCTTTATTTTGGATTTTATCTAATTTACAAATGTTTCTATTAGTACTCATATCATATAAAAAACAGCCGAAATCAATTCTGCTTCTTATAAGTGATAAGTATAACCTACATAAATGCTGCGGATGGATTCCCCAATCATGCCCTGTTAATACTTTTAATATATTTACAAATTTTAATATCTTTTGGCTAATTTCATTAATATGTTTAGACCATCTTAATGATCGGTCCAACCAAATACCTAAATATCGCATGTTTGTCTCAACTATTCTGTTTCCATATAGTTCTAATTTAATTTCCTCACGTCTAAAACCTCTACTAAAAATCATAAGCTTATTCTTGGCGATAGAAATATCTAAGCCAATTTTATTAAGTGAAGTAATTATAAAGTTTAAAGCATTTTGAATGTTATACTCACAGTCCTTAAGAATTTTTGATAGATTACAAAATCATCTGCATATTGAGCGATAGATACATTTTGTATTTGT